TACTTGAGAGAGTTGGTTTGATGACACAAAGTTTACAAGTTTTTCCAATGGGTAAAGAATCTAAACTGTCTACAAATGGCAAGTAAGGACATGAAAAATGGCACAGCCAACACTCACCAGAATAACTAACATTAAAGGCTGATACCATTAATGGTTGGTAAGGACATGGGCCACTGCTGCCAAGAGTATAAAGAAAATGTAGCAACTAAAAACTGAAAGCAGTTTATCTGTTCTATGACTTAGAAACTGCTATTTTACATACCGACTCAAAGAGAAATGGAAATGGCTATGGAAGTTCTCACAAAGGTAGAGGAATGGCTCTGAGTGCAGCATTACTTAGCCCTTTTGAGGCCCTGAGCTCTATGCCCAGGACTACAGGACTGATTGTCTTTCAACCCACCATGATATAAAGAAGAGGCATAAGACAATTATGGAGAACACTTTCAATGTGAAGAGCAGTTAAAAAAAAAAAAAAAAAAAAAAAAAAAAAACTACAAAGAAACAGAAAATAACACAATGTCAAAGAAAAGACTGACAACAGCCTTCATAAAAATATGCCACCAGAACAGTAAGGACATATTTGCTAAACCAAAATAGTCAACAGAAGATTGGAAGATAAAGGAAACCCTAAGACTAGAACCCTGTTCCAAACAAGAAAATGTTCATGTGCATTTTTGGCAGTCACGTTAGAATATACTGGTAATAGAAAGTCCAGGAAAACAAAGGAATACACCCTAAAAATCTCAATCAATCAATCAATCAATCAATCAATCAATCAATCAATCTATTGATCAATTTCCTAGTACCAAAAAAAGGCACATCTTTAAATTGAAAAAGCATAAGAACCCACAGAAATGAATGGGAAACAAAAACAAATACAGACACACCTGGAATCACATCTCTTTGAAACTTAACATACCAGAGATAGAGAAAATTAAAATATATATATATGTATATATATATACATATATATATATATATATTAGATATAGAAAAATAAATCAAAGTGCTACAGCTTTGCTTAGCAATAGTGGAAGCTGGAGGTCAAGGCAATGTCTTCAAAATTCTAAAAGAAATGTTTTCCAATTCATAGCTAAACCAGTTATAAGTCAAAAATAAAGTGATACATATCCAGGCATCCAAAACTGAAAAACGATTACAATTTATAGATGCCCTTTTTAGGGGATGGTTTGGGCAGGAACAGAGTTTCCGTCTTTCTATAACCCTGGCTGTCCCTGAAAGAGATATGTAGACCAGACTGGCCTCAAACTTGAACTGAAATAGATCTGCCTGTCTCTGCAGCCCAAGTGCTAGAGTTATGTGTGCCACCATTCACAGCTCTATAGATGCCTATGTGACATCTTTTAAATAATTGTATTTTGTTTTGTTTTCTTTTGATAGCCTTAGCTGTCCTGGATCTCACTATGTGGACCAGGGTGGTCTTGAATTCTCACAGATGTGGGTAACTCTGCCTCCTAAGTGCTAGGATTAAAGGTGTACACCACCATGCTCATCGAAAGCTTTTAATCCCAATACCTGGAAGGCAGAGGCAGGTGGATCTCTGTGAGTTCGAGGCCAGCCTGATCTACAGAGCTTCTGTCTTGAAAAACATCAACAACAAAGTGTAGACAATCCCTAATACGGCAGCAATGAAAAACTCAGAACAGCTATGCACTGGGGATGCCAAAGGGATTGCATCTGCTGGGTACAAAATGGGCAAAGTGTAAGAGCCGACCGAGCTGTAGACACAGCAGAGTCTCTCAGCCCAGGAAAGGAAAACTAAGATGCTGCTGTGATTTTACTCTAGTAACAAACTGAAGGAAAAGCAGTAAGACAATTAGAGCAAACTAGCTCAGTATAACTGAATTTTATCATCATCAAGTCAGGGTGGGATGAGGATGGGAAACATGCATAAAAGTGCCTTCTGCTTTTCCTAGATGGCAAAACCTCCCATCTAGACACACTATTCCAAATGAATACAACACTGGAAAGAAATGTTGAAAGACTGACTCATACATTAAGACCAGTATTGTTTCACTTAAAATATGTCTATGTTACTACTACACAAAATTTTATGCTAAATAAATTGTGAAATAAAACCAAAAGCTAACACCCAAAATAAGTATATTTTGCCAGGTACTATGAGTAAAACAGTGAATAAGAAAAAGTTCATGCCTCAAGGAGATTACTTCTACTGAGTGAACAAAGAAATTTATAATACAATTACAAAGAATAATAAACATTACCTCGAAACCAGTAATTACACTGAGGTAATGCTAGGCAAGAAGTGGGCTGCTTCTGGTAAATCTGTCAAGGAATGACTCTAACTAGTGAGTCCTGATCAGAAATCTGAATAAAATCAAGGACTGGACTTTTTAAAAGTAGGATTCAAATATGTTCTAGAAGACCGGGAACAGATTTTGTTTGATGTGTAGGGAACCAGTAGAAGTATGGAATTAAGAGCAGAATTAGCCCAAAGAGAAGGTTAAGACAACTTCCAGAAGAAAAAGCAATACTTATCAACAGCTAACATCTCCCAGGTGAACAACTTCAAAACTTTAAGAGCTTAAACATCGTACACACACACACACACACACACACACACACACACACACACACACACACACACACACACGGAGTATTTTATAAGAACACATGAACAACCACATGCTATTTCCTCCAATAATTTATCAGCCTTCTATTACATAATGAAACAATACAAAGTCCCATTAGACAATGCAGTTTAGTACAATTGTCCCCAGGAAAGATATCTCACATGAAAGGATACTTGGAACTCCATTAGCAACCACAAAAACAAGATAAGAGTGAGCAAAGAAAGATAAGGAAGTCTGGTTGCTGTTAGTTCTTTCATACTGGCTGCACCTTACAAACATCTTGCCCCTGATGTCCATGCAGCCCCACTGTAAGTTAACTGCTAAAGTGAAGACTTGGACATATTATTCCCATATTCCACCCTAATTGGGCACCACTAAATAAGAAGTATACAACAGTATAAAGGGAAAATGCCAACAGTGGTAACTCTATACAGAAAACAAAACTTCCTGACTAATACATGAATCTGATCCCATTATTCTATATCTAGGAAAACACCTAACGACCAAACTCTATTGATTCCCCATTGCTTTGCGTATTCAGTGTACTGTCTGGGCCAGCATGTAAGAACCTTGGTATAGTTCCCTGGCTACCGCTCCCATCGCATCAAATGAAACTATGACTGTATAGTCTAACTAAACAATGCTGTTTCCTTAGGTGTCTTCAACGTATTCTTTTCACACGTTAGTCCAACTGCCTTCACCAACATGCCTGCCTTGCATTTATCCCAAACTTGCATTCATCATCAAGTTCAGGTAACCCTTACCCTGCTGGATTGACAGAACCACCTGAGGATGATCACGTGCTTCCCTGGCGCCACCATTCCACACTGAGAAATAAAAGCAACTTCCTACACTAACACTTGAGCACTCTGCAAGCACAGGGTAGTATCCTGTTCTTAATCTCTGTAGCTACTATGTCTAATTTGGAGAGCTGGTTTACCGACTAAGAAATTAATCATGAATGAGAATAAAATGACACAGCCTCAAAGCTCCACAATTTCAGCAGGAAGTTTAAGAAATTTTAAGCAGTAAGGGGCTATGGAAGCTCAAGCAATTATGTGAAGATGGGCATGGACCACATAAAGGCTTCATCATCTTCAATGGTTGCTCTTTTCACTCTCCCTGCCCCTTTCTAGTCTGGTTATGGAATACTCTAATGAACAGAGATAAAGGACACCAATAACCAGCTATAAAAGGGGAAGCAACACTGATAATTTTTATTGCCTAAGCTCTGGTGTGTGTGTTAAACCATGTGTAATTTATTTGTATTTACACAAATTTAATTGTGTAATATATAATTATATATTGAAGTATTCCTTGACATGGTACATTTACAAGCATTAGAAAATGTTAAGTTGCTAAAACAAAAACAAAAGCAAAAGAATAATGTATTGCATTTATGGGTAACACCTCGGGGAGCTGAGCTCTGGACACTTGAAAGTCACTTAAAAACGGTGTTTATCTGTGGCACTTAAATACATAAACACATATGTTAGTGTGTTTGTATGTATTTATACTCATAAGCTTGAAAAAGTTTTGTTTTTTAAATCAAACCACGGGACAAGTAAACTAAAGCCATTTACATGTATTGCACTGTTTAAATCTACAAATCAGATAAGCATCATAATGGTAAGGAATTGGTACTCATAAAAACAAAACTAGTTTATAAATCACGTCCTACAAAGTGAAACAAATGGAGAAAAACCCAATAAACAAACAAACAAAAAAAAAACTGGTCTCCGAAACCATTTTGTTAGAGTGCTCAAGACTTTTATTACTGGGCCCCCTTTCTGTCCGGTACTAACTCTTATCAAGACATCACAGCTCATTATAACTCGGAACAGGTTTTACAACTTCTAGGTGTTTCCTGACCTGTTTTAGAATAATTACGGCCACGTAACATCTTACACATAACCGAAAGCATTTAGTTTTTTTTTCTTTTTTTTTTCAACGCCTACGGGGGGGTGGGGGGGCGAGCTGTGCCTGGGTGTGAAAATTTCAGAAACCTATACACCTGAGTCTTAACGAACAGAAATCAGAGCCAAGCCAGACAATGTGAAGGTGCACCGGCTTAGACAAGAGGAAAGTCAACAGTGCAAAGCTAGTGTTTGGTGTTAAAGAAGAAAGTTTTGGGTTCTTGTGGAGACACTTTTCTACGGCTAATCAGACCTACGGTTGGCTTCACTGACACGGAAAAGGCCCGCAAACAGGATGCAGGAATCTGTTTCCACCTTGCTTGGCTAAAATCGGCACACGCATGGGATTCCCGGCCACCAGGTGCCCCCCTGCCCGGGCTCCCAGTCCCCGTCCGAGTTCTACCCTGAGCCGGGTCCAGATTGAGATCTGGACTAGCCGACGCCGCGTCCACCAACCCGCCGGCCTCACCTTGGTTACAGAAAAGGCTCCACAATTTAGCGAAGATCAGCCCCATCATGAGCCCCGGGCAGGACAGGCTCCCTGGGCAGCGCTGAGCGGCAATTGCCGCGGCGCCCGCGGTGGAGCCGAGCCGAAGCCGACACGGAGCCGCGGAGCCTCAGTCCCGCGAAGCTTCGGTCCTCCGCGGAGCAGGGAACAGCCGCAGATGCCTTTGTTCGCGGCGCGCTGAGCCCAGCCCCGACCCGTAGTCTCTCGGTCTGCGCCCACCTACCCAGCACAGCCTTAACCGGCCGAGAGCCCCGCCCCCGCCCCGCCTCCCCACCTCAGCCCGGGACCACCCATCGCCGGAAGGTCGGCACGTGACGTCGGCGCGCTGACGTCAGCTGGCGGTCGGACGTGGCGGGTCCTCCCTGTGCACTTCCGGTGCGCGGACCGTGGGCCGGTTGGCGTCAGCGCAGGCGGGGGTGGCGGGGCTGGGGATCTCCTCGGCGCGCGCTCCCTCTCCTGTCCCTGGGAAGAAACGCTCTTTCGGCTCGCGAGCCGCAGTGTCTCCGCGGCGTCGCTGCCACGTCCCTCGCGGCTAAAACCCTGTAGAAGCTCTGCTTATGTGGTCTTCTGGCTGCGCGGGCAGAAGTGTTTCATTCCGTTCCCCGCGGGCTGGCAGCCTTGGCATTCTAGCGTGATTCTTAATTCTTAATAGAACTGATGAGGACAGGCGCGCTGGAACGCCGGTAGCTAGGATTCAGTTAAGTTTCCACAGACATACAGAGACTAGTTTGGCCGATACCGTTCGTTGATCTCCGAATCCTTGAAAATGCAAGTCTCATAGGTCAGAATAGTCCTTGAGGCCGGCCACCTGGCGTACCCCACATAACGACAGACGAAGAATTTTTAAGACTGGTGTAACAAAATAACTTAATCCAAGACCTCTCCTGAATAAAATGAGTGTGGCTTAAGATGTCCTACTGGTGTTGCGCTTAAAAGACAAGGGAAGACTTCAGTGCAAGATCATTCTCTCCAACTTAATGATACTAAACCCCTAGCTTCAGTCTCATAAGGAGGAAAAGATGCACTGATCTTTCAGCATTCAAACATAACTTTAATAGCCATTTTGTAGGACTATGAATATAAACGAGTTTGTAGTTGTGTAAGCAGGTTTAAATGGCCATATCTACTGGTTTCAGTATTTAAAAAGCCGACTCTAGGCTCTCTAACACCCCTTTCAGGTGAGAATTTAGAAATTTAAAAGTTTTCCTAACCGGAAGAAACCTACTCCAACTAAAACAAAGGATCGATGATGCTGACAAATATAGTCGAATATTGTTGGAACAAATATAAAGCTGATGTATGTACTGATGTTAGAAAAATTACATAGGTTTATGCTGTATACTTGTATTGGATATATAGTAAAAGGAATGTTCATCACGAATCTAATGAAACTAGAAAATTCTGAGAATATACTTTATAAATGTTGCTCATACAAACTAAATACTTTTTCTATAAATATCCCTTTAAGGTTTTGTTTACACTAGTTTCAGTGTTGCCTTTGGTATAGAATAGGTACATTGTTCTATAGAATGTGCCATTTGAAAATGAATATAGTTTCAATTGTGGAGATGAGAATAACTGCATGAAAGCTTCAGGAATAAAGTGTTATGTGTTGATTGGAAATGACAACTTTCAGTAAAATAGAATCCAGTAAAAACTACAACAAAATATTTAAAAGGTTTGTGTTAACACAAAATGAAATTTCAAGGGAGTAAAATTAATATCACAGAGCCTAAAAAAGCAAAATTTTGTAGATTTTCTTAGGAACAATTATAAACGTACTTGGAAAAACTTGATGTCTTTGGCATTGAATTCAACTTATTAATCAGTTCAGTTAGATCAGTTTGTACAGAGCTTTTAAAAACCATTCAAGGAACTGTGTGTTCTGCCAGCTAAGGAGGAAACCACTCTTCAAAAAACTCTTTAACCTTTCTCATGTCAATTGAGATTTTAGTCCAGTTGGTGAATTGCCAGATGGGTTTGGATTGATTGCCCATCAGGAAGTTCTTTTCCGCCATATGGTCAAAGAAATCAATATATTTCTATTCAGTAAATATCTGTTAGACAGATTTAGATTCTGTAGGTGATTGATTGATGCAAACAATTTAGTATGTCATTCCTCAAAGTAGGAATGAACATATTGATAAATTTCTGATGAAGCTATCTTTTACAGTCACAAAGAGATTACATAATCTCCTGAATTTCAGAATATTTACTAGGCCAAACTATCTTTAACTCTATGACTCTGGTCATAAGTTTTACCATGGGACATGGCATCTCTCCTCTGTACTACAGGGATCACCATAGTCAGCCTTCTCATTTTGTAAATGTTTAACAGGTACCTGGAAGCCTTCATCTTGTGCAGTGTTACCATTTGGGGGCATGCTTACTCTTTTTTTCTGGCTCAGTAGAAGCCAAGGTAGTGTGTAGAATATGATTTGTGGGAAAATTTTGAACCTGAACGATTTTGTGAAATGTTCTAGTCCTCTCCTCTTTAGAAACAGCTGTACCCTGCCCTTTGTTACAATCCTGTAGCTGAGGGTGGGACCTATTACACACATTTATATAACCTCTCATTAAATCCCTGAAATCCACACTCACTCCTCCCTTACACAGACTTCTAGTTAACCCCTGATATGTCAGAATTTGGTTTCCTTCAGTTCTTCCCTGCTGAGTGAAGACTGGCAGCCATTTTAATCTATCTAACACTTAGAAAAGGTTGGTCTTTTCCAACACTCTTTAAATTAAATCAGGTTTTCTAACGTGTAGTCCATAGTAAAAGTGTGAAATACTGTTTCCATTTAATAGATGAGAAAATACGGTGTATGAACTTTTAATAATTTGCTCAGTGTTGCAAGAACTGCCACTTAGACCATAGCAGTCTAGATCGATAGTGAAATTCTAAACAATTAAGGAGATATGGCTCACTCAACAGCCTGATAAACCCTGTACTCTACAGTTAAAGGCATTTTATTTTTAGAAACCTTATTGTTCATTTCTTTCTCAAGTGGCAAGGACACATTCAGGACAGAACAGCAGGGAATTAGGCTTTGTAGTAGAGAGACTGGTGGATCTTCGTCTGGCTTGTAGCAAGTTTTGGTGCTAATCCTCAACGTTTCATAATCACAGCAAGATAAATGAGGAGGTAAGATATAGACTTTAATTTATAGAACTAAAGGTGAACAAATCCAAAAGCTAGTGTTCTTAATCCTGGAAGTATTTTAAACTAGATTATCTTCATTCTTTGGCTTTCCAAACACTGTAGATCCTAATTTGTAGTTTCTCAAATGACACCAACTATATTTAAAAAACTGACACACAGTATTGACAAGATTAATGTGTGTCTAAGAGGATGTGTATAGATATCATGTTACCTTTATAGAACATTTAGGACGAGCTGGGTGTGGTTGAGGCAGGAGGATTGTGAATCAAGAACACCATGGACTAAATAGGGAGGGCCTGTCTCAAAAATAAACAAACAAATGGAGCTAAGGAGAAATCTCTGTTAGTAAAGCACGTGCCATAGAAACATGAGGACCTGATTTTAGATGTCCAGCACTTGGGTTAAAAAAAAAAAAAAGTTGGGCTGTGTAGTGAGATAGTCCTTCTGTGGCACTGACCACGCCCATTGGGGGGTGGAGCCATGGGCGGAGAGGACCTGAGGAAGGAGGTCGGAGGGGGCCAGGTAGGCGCTCTCTCTTTCTGGTGTGACTCGGACAGGAGAGGATCGGGTTGAATTTCCTGGTGTTCATCTGTCTAGGTTGTAAGTTATTTCTCCCTGAATAAACATCTATTCGTCCTGTTTGTTTATCCTGATCCTTATTTACCGCAATAGGGCTGTAATCAGATTTTTTTCTTTGGGCTGCCATCTCACAAATAAGGACCTGGTGACTTAATTATGAAAGCTTAGATTTAGCTTAGGCTTGTTTTTAACTAGTTCTTATATCTTAAATTAATCCATTTCTATTAATCTACATTCTGTTATTTACCAGCCATCCTGCTTTGTCTGTGACCTCCCTTCTCTCACCTAGATTCTTCCTACTTTCTCTCTCTGCCTATACCTCCTGCCTAGCTATTGACCATTCAGCTTTTTATTACGATAATCACAGCCAATATACCTTCATACAGTGTGCAAATATCCTACAACTCTGGGCCAGGAGTATGTGCCTGGAATTCCAGCTCTGGGGATGCAGACATGACATGCAGATCCCTGGAGCTTGCTGACTTGTCAGCCCAGCTAAGGTGGGGAGCAATAGTGACTGCTACATTGATCTCTTGCTTTCATATGGATGTGCATGTACTTGAACCTACACACACACACACACACATATACCACGTTAATGCTCATCCACATAAATCCAAGAGAAAGGCAATGAAAGAAAAAGGAATAATTTCCCTTTACTGCAGAAGTCTAGAAACCAGAATTAAGATTCTGTTCCCACATCAATCTGAGATAACATCCTCAGAGATGAATGAGGCTAGTTGCTGTAGAAAAAAAAGTAAAATGTGGAGATGATAAAATATAAAATGTGAAAACTAAAGAGAAATTGGTTACACTTTTTTTTGCATGGAGAATGAAGAAGCTACCTTGAAATCAGTGTTTCTTTACCATTTAAGATTGTCACCCCTGTTAGTAGGCATTCTAGAGCCTCTCCCACTTCTTGTGATCCCTCCTCATGAAATTAAATAAGGATTAAACTTTTTTATATGAAGGTCAACTTTGGATAAACAAGCTTAAAATGCTGATATTAAAATGCTGAAATAAATCTCAGATTTATTTCTCCCATCAGTTCCTGCTTGGGGGCCATACTATCCCATTAAAGAATGCATAGCTCCAGTGACTTCTGCATGGCTGTTTTCCTATAGGAGTCTTCCTTAGCTTAGACAGTACATGCTCACTCTACCAAATGCAGATTTATGACATGTTTTCTTGGTTCCATTTGTACACCACTGCATATCTATTCATCCACATAACTGCCATTGCAATTCTATCTAGCCAAGATTAAAATAGATGTCTGGTCATGACTCAAGGGTTCAGAAGTAGTGAAATAGTTTGTTATATCAAATATATGTTTAATAGCAATTTCCTTTCTACTTCATAAAGGTGTAAGTGTTCAATTAGTCATTCAGGAATGCCATTTATATGTCAAACAATGAGTACACTATGTGGAAATGAAATTTTTCCCTCATGGAGTATTTATTCAAGTACAAGATCTCTTTATTTCTTAAAGATTTCTACTGCAGCTAGTGTCAGGGTCACTACAATATGGCCTGTCAAAATTTCTCTGTGTGGTTGGCTAGTCTTCTGAATCCTAGCCAAAGCAAGATGCCTCTTACCTGTTCTACCTGCCAGATAGCAGCAGAACAGGCCACCCTTCCCAGGCTGGACAATGTCTGTTGAAACTAACAGAATGGCTGGTGATGGCAAGGATAGAGCACACATAGACACATGACCTTTCCCAGAGTTTTAATTCACCTGTGCCTCACATTGCTGTCTGAGCCTGGGTCACCTCTACTGCTTATAGAGCTTATATAGATAGCTCTCTGAAACTAGTTTTATGTCAGCTCTGCATAGACCTACAATAAAGCTACATAAAATAATAGGAGTGTGGTGGGAATTTTGGCTGGTACGGCTAGCTGCCCATGAAGTATGGATCCTGCTATAAGTAAGCCTAGCAAGCAAACTTATTTTTCCAAGCTTGACTTCTCAAGTTTTTCTTTGGCCACTTCACTCTTCTTATTTGGGGTGAATATGTCTTCTCAGCATGCAACATTTTCAAACCCTGTGTCTTAGGCATTTTCTTTACTGATTTCAGATGATTAGATCAGGAAAGAACCCCATGCAATCACTGAAGATGCATGATATTGCAGAAAGACTAGGTATTGGCTTTTTGAAAACAATTTACTGGTCCTAAGGCTAAAAAAGAAAAAGAGAAAACAAAACAAACACACAAAATAAAACAAAAAAACCAAGATCATGGAAAGTTATTTCAGCCCCCAGAGCCTTGGTTTACTGTTTATAACTGTTTATAACTATTTTGTTGAACCGTAGCAGAGTGCCATTGTTACATTTTCACCTAGTAAAGAGCTGGCATGCCAGAGATACATTTTTTAAAGCCAGTGTGAAAACGTAAAAGATTTATCCCCCCCACACACACCAAAAAACCTCAACAACCCTTTTGTACAGTTATCTATGAGATATTGCCCCCAAACAACAAAAAGCACAAAACAATATAAAGCAAGTCCACACAGCAGCAGAAACAGAACTGTTCATCATGTTGACTTTGTTTACTTTTTTAAAATACTTTTCACTTCATTACAATTGGGAAAGTCACATCAGGGCTCTCCCAAGTACTAATGTACATTAACCATGACTAATCGTAAACACTATTAGGGCTTTTAACTTTTACCGGAGTACTCATGGGTATTATTAGCACATTAAAAAATACGGATGTTAGGGATGGAGAGATGGCATGACAATAAAGATCACTTGTTCCTGCTGAGGACCCTGGTTCCATTGCCATTGCCAACACCCATATGATGGTTCACAGGGGATCCAACAGGAAGCACGTGGTGCACTCACATGCATTCATACTCATGACATGAATATGTCTTTCTTTAAAACATTATATTGATTCACAGCTGATGTCAGATTCATGTGTCCCAGGGAGAGAGATCATTTCATGAAATCCAAGGCCAAATAAATTGTGGTCTTTACCGCCACTTACACAGGGAACACTAACTGAAGACTTGCCTAATTCAAATTAGCTAGGTACTCTGCTCAATACTGGGTGAACCAGGAAAACAGCGTTCCTCGCTGGAAGAAGCACCACCCTCAGGGATCAGAACTGAGGTGATTGGCAGATGCAGATTTGGCGTGCGCAGCAGGGTACGCTGACAGCACCGGAAGTGACGAACAAGGAAGTGACTTAATGCTCCGGAGTTGGGGGCGCGGTTTTGGAAAATAGTGCGTCGGAGTGGAATTCCTGGCTAGCCACTTTTCTGGTCTGCGTGTAGGTACATTTATTTGTCACTAAGCCGGTTTTTTTTTTTTGTTCGTTCGTTTGTTTTTGTCGCAGCGTCTCAGTGGCGCTCGGCGCTTCCTCACAGCATCCCGGAGAACGACAAACCCTGGACCCTGTTCACTCCTGAACGCAGTCCCTGAAGGCATTTTGTGCTGGGCCTTTTGCTGACAAGACTGTTCGCTGTAATTCGGAAAGAAAGGAAAAGAAAAGAAAAAAGAAAAAAACAAACAAAATAACCCGCTTCCCAACATTTTCTTGCACAACTTAAAACAGGAAAAAGAAATGCCCATTTTTCCTAAGATATCTTTGAGACCTGAAGTTGAAAACTATCTCAAAGAGAGCTTTATGAACAAAGAGGTAGGTCATATAAGTAGATATTTGAAACAATTCAAGTACAACTTATAGGGAGCAGAAAGTAGACCAAAGGGTAGTTTTTATAGCTTTGGTTTTTGACATTAGACTGTTGGAATTTCTAAAAACCATTGTTTTTAAATATTGATGCTTACTAAGATAAGTGCTCGCATTTAGATGTAAGAAAAAAGTGTTATGTGCCTATCAATACACTTAGTCCTGAAGGGATATCAAAACCAACAGTAAAAGTTCCCTGACTACAAAACTCTAGACTTAACATAGAAGATGAACCTGTTATTTTAAAGTAGTAATCCTGTACTAGGTTGAAAAGGGCACACTATGAATTCCTCTTTAAATGCTGTCAGTTGTTTGATTATAAACATTTACATTTTAGTCTAAGCTAAGATGTAATGAAAGAAAAATCCAGATTAGATCTCAAAAGCTTGCTTTATTTACTAATTTTTGTTTAATTATTGAAATAGGGCTCTTTACATTGTCCTGCCCTGAAACTCACATTTTCTACCAGGTTGGCCTCAAACTCACACCCAGTGCTGTGATTACAGGCATACTCCACCATACCTTACTGGAAAGCATTGTTTTTGTGTGAATTGCCTTGAAATAGTTCTCACTGGTAAAGCTTAATTTATTCTGTGATAATCCAATAGATTTAAAAGTACTTTCAATGGTTGTCTTGGGCATCAAACTTAAGTGAAAGCAACTACGTTGGTTTGGCAGGCAAGTCTTCAAAAGAGTGTTAATTGATTGTTACTGGTCACATTTGACACAGAAGTTCCCAGTGAGTGTTGATTGCCTTCTAATGAAAGGTTCTTACATGTTCTGATCACCCTAACCTGCCATACCTAGGCAACCTGGATTTTTTTTTTTCTTTTCTAAATTTGCCTTTCATTTTTGAATGTTATTGGAGCTGGTGTTGGTATTTAGGTATTCGTACTGATTTGTTTTTGGAGTTTTGACAGGATATGCCCTTAGCTGCTGCCACTAAGAGCACCATCTGTGGCTATTCACTATGTTCCCTTTTAAAGGGCCCTGCCCACCTCCCTTCCCTTCCTTTTTCTTTCTCTCCCTCTCTCTACCCCTTTCCCTCTGCTCTTTTCTTAAATCTCTCCCACTGCTCTAGTCTTGGGACTAGAGCTTGGAAGCCGTTCCCCTCTCCTCTTTCCCATTTTTACCATATTTCCCCCCTAATTAAAAATACAAAAAAACATTCCACTTGAACTCGTCACATGGTGTCTTTTTCTATTGAGCTTTTTTTTTTTTTTTTTTTTTTTTTTTTTTAAATTATAACAGCTGGGATTTAAAATTGATTTCTAAGTCTTATTTCCAGATTATGTTAAGAGGATAGACTTTATGGAAAGCGAAACTATTTCATGTTTAGCTCAAGGGGCTCTATAGAGTGTACGTTAAGAGAGGAAGTGGCATTTAGCAATACTTTTCAGCAGTTTTATACCCCAAAGGTGTATGAGTTTAAAAAAAAAAAGAAAAGGCCGTCCTATTTGTAAGGCAGTTTGGAAAGGAAAGAAATAATGTCGACAACACTAAAAACTAAACCTTAAATGTGTTAAGACTGATAATACAACACTGAGATTCCAATCGTGGTTCCTTCCATTTCAGGTTGTGTCTGCTTCAAGCAAACAAGAAGCAGAAAGGAAGTTTGAAGCTCTGCTGATTCACCTGGCACACCCTCCGTCATTCACAACTGTCAGAGTGAATACACATTTAGCATCAGTTGATTATGTCAGAGGTCTGCTGCTTGATGAGCTTCAGAAGGTTTGTGCGAGTGTGATATATTATACAGTTAACACTTTTATAGTCTGCCACAGTGTGCTCCTCAAAATCCCATGAACAGTATGACATTTCAATTTTTTTTAAACTTCTGAATATGTGGAGTTTATTATTCTGGTAATTTTTAAACATATAGTGGAAGAATTGATGGAATAAATAATATATTTAGACATAAGATTTATTTCTTTTTACATGCCCTTAGTGTTCAATTAAATCATATACATCTATGATATGTTGACACCATTTTAATGGTACGTTTAAAAACACTAAAAGGTAGGGAAAAGAAACTGAATGATATTGGGCAGAATACTTAGCTTGACAAAAACAGCTTGTTTGTGTTGTTATGAAAGGCAGCCACTTGCATGAAGTTTTCTTTGTGTATCAGGTTCACTTGTTCTGATAGGAAAGGAGAAGGAAGTCTTGACACCACAAAGATCCATCTCTATCTAAAATAATTTCAGTAGTATAAAGCAAGTAGAATTGCTAAACAGAAATATACAACAAAATTCATCTCCTCCTTGGAAATACTGTATTTACAGTAGTTTCTCTATAAGGTCATAGAAACAGTAAAGCAGAGAAAGAAGGAGAAAGGAAAGGACTTACATTTAGATTGTTCAGATGTTATCTGCTGGGTGTGCTCATAGTCTGAAATGTGTTTTGAAGGAAGTCAGGAGAAATGTTGGCTTATGTCCATACTTTCTAAAATGTGGAATTTTTTTCTCATCTATTCTGAAATAATCTGTTATGGTTTCTGCAACATGATGCAGTTAGTTTTATTACTACTCTTTCAGGTAGTATGGGAAAAGTAGTAAATATGTAAACCCAAGCCTCATGCATAAACATATTTATGTGTTTTCCCCCATAGACTCCATATAATTCCTGTTCTCACTCTGCCATCTGCTTTTGACCATGCTGCTCAGAGGCTGTCCACTCACATTTAGCTTGCAGTAACAATACAGTGGCTCACATTCACCAACACATTTTTCAAAGAAAAACTACCCTGACTTAGGGTGTTTGATAACTTTCATGGTATAAACACTGGCATCAGAGTTGATCTCAAACTTGTAGTGTAGCCATAGCATTGGAGAGAGATACCCACAGTGAGTCTGTGTAAGCTGTGTTAGTAACTTACTGCTCCAGCCTCTGTGTGAATTTCCAGTCTAACCAACTAAGTATAATAGTTTTTCAAAATCCTGAACTTGTAATAAAAGTACATTTTGATATCAAAAATGACATGGCCTCCAGTGTTGGTGTTATACATTATATTTAGTAATTTCAGTCTTTAATGTCCTATTCTGAAATTTGTCAGATGACTCTCTCTGTGCATATGAGTTAGGATTTGATTATGTGTCCAAGGCTCACCTGTAACTTACTGGGTTGCTCAGGTTTCCTTCCTCATCCTCCCTAGCTGCTACAGAATCAGGGATAGGAGGATTGAAAACTTGAGGCAAGTGTGGGCAGTGTAGGGATATTCTTACTCAAAAGTTAAAATAAAAAAAGGGCTCAGGGTACAGCTCAGTGGTTCAGCACTTGCTTACTATATTTGGTCCCCTGCGCTCTCTCCTTCTAAAGTCAGATAACACTGAATCGGGGAAATATTTAGAGATATGTTTACGTTTACAGTGTCCCATGAAGTGAGGGTGGAATAGGCCCAAATCTAGCTTCCTGCAGTGGGAGATGATGACTTGGGGGACTTGTACAATTTACAGATTGTACTAGGTTCTTCATCGTAGTGCTCGTGGTGACACGGAGAAGCCTGTGAGGTTTACCGAGTGTCCTGGGTGCTCTACCATTGTGTGCTTGTTTTTAACAGCAGTTCAGTGGATTCAGTGTTCCTGTTCTTCAGCATCCAGCCCTCCCAGACGTCTTACTCATTCCCGTGACTGGACCAAGGTTTGTGGCTGTTTCCTTTTCCTTTTATTCTTCTATATTAAAATTCCTCCCAAGATCTTTGCTTGTTGACAATATAGTCTGCATTCTTAAAATATCCCTAGAAACTTGAAGTCAGCAGTTTGTAACCACATACTTGATGCTCTGTCATGCACTGTGCTGGAAGACTAGGACTGAGCTGAGGACCTTGAAAATAATGCATCTTCTATCTGTTTAGTGCAGTGATGGGTGTTACTCTTATTTTTTTAGAAGTTTCATTTGTTTACTTGTGTTTCTTTTAAAAAGGATTCATTTATTTATTTTTATTTTATGCGTACAAGTGTTTCTCTGCTTGTGTATAGGATACCATGAACATGCCTTGTACCTTCAAAGGCCAGAAGAGGGCATCAGATCCTCTGGAGCTAGAGTTATAGACAGTTGGAAATTGCCATGTGGATGCTGGGACTGATTCTCAGTTCTCTGAGCCATCTTCCCAGTCCCTTTTCTATTTTTTTTTTTTTAATTTGGTTTTTTGAGACAGGATTTCCATATGCATAGTCCTAGATGTTCTGGGACTCGCTTTGTAGAACTCAGAGAGAAACATTGTCTCAAAAAAAAAAAAAAAAATTAAACTTGAGTTGTGGTAAATATAAAAATCTTCATGTTGCTAAATTTTGAAGTAATCGGATAGTAACAAAACAATGATTTTATAAATTATGGTTTGCTTGATCCATGCTATGAACTAATCAGGCAACCATTAAGATGGTGGAGTTTTATGGAGCAATGTTTATGGAGATGTTTATGATCTGTTAATTATCAAAAGCTAACAGCCACATGTAGAATAATTATAATATTTTGTAATTAAGCAGGAAGCTATACATTTTATGTATTTATATATAGAAAATGTTTAGTTAAACCGTATCCACCTATGAACAGAGGTTCATGCTAATGAGGTTGGCTTAGTGAAGGGGATTTTTATTTATAGAATTTCAATTGTCCAATTTTGATTTAACAGGCTGGGTAATTGAACAGAGGTGCAGTTTATATAGTCAAGGTAGAGGCATAGCATGTGTATAGTTTGTAAAATGTTTATATACATACATATATATATCTGCATAACCAAAACCCAGCTCACCACAATGTACAGCACTTTGATCAACTTGAAAAACTTTCTTGTATTATTCTCCTTTACCAGACAACCCATGTTGATTCTGCTTCTTAATTCTGAAGCAATGGCTGTGGTAGATGGTGATCACAGGTCATTTGAATTACATTTTTTTTGTGTGGATGCAAAATTGCAGTTGATTAGTTTTAGCTTTTGGCTATGTCATTATGTAATACTACTCTTACTGTCATTAATTTTCTGTTTCCTTTTCTCTCCTCAAATGTAATATGAGTTATGTAGATAGGTAGGTATTATAACCAGTGCAGCCTGACTTCCAATTCTCAATCCATTTGCCTCACCCTCTCTATGCGGGGATACTAGGCATGCTATAGCACACTAAGTTTTAGTTTGTTGCTCTTAATAAGTAGAATTTTATTAGGTTTTGTTTACTTTATGGAAACTAAGACAATTTTATCATTGTTATCAAAAGTGATGCACTGACTATTTAATAGAGTTGTGTAAGCAGTCTGCAGAGTTTATTCTCATGGTATAAACTACTGTTCAGAGGCTTCTGCTTGTTTTAAAAGTGGCCCTTTGCCAGTAGTATATTATATAAGTTGTCTGTCTTCCTGCTTTGTTTTTCTCATCCCTCCAGTGGGAACTAAAAGCCTCTGTGAACTACAGGACTATGATGGTGGGGCTTCAGTAATTGGTTAGAACAATTCATGTGCATTGTATATATTTCATTAAGAGTTAGCAACTAAAAATTTTGCTTTTTGAGGTTTTTTTGTTTTGTTTTGTTTTGTTTTGTTTTGTTTTGTTTGTGGATTTGAAGACACAGACATATTTGAAGTAGTTTTCCCTTTTGTGCCCCCCCTTTAGTTTGCCTTTTGCTTGAGATTATTCTTTCGGTACCATGTAGGCACAGGCTCCATGTTGCAAAAATTCTTTCTGCATGTCTCTCTTTTCTTTCTTTAAGGTTTTTTTTTTTTTTTTTTTTTTTTTTTAATGTGTATGTGTGTATGCTTGAGTGTAGAAGTCACAGGAGACCTTGCAGGATTGGGTCTGAGGATCGAGTACTTTTATCCACTGAGACACATTTGAGAAACTGGTTCATCTATGAGTAGTTATTTCTACTTCAGTAGAAATACCAGTTGTAAATTTGAGAGATGAAATACAAAGGATATTTTGAAGTTGTTCTTTGGGTTTTGGTGACTGGTTTCACTGTGCTACTCAGGCTGCTCTTTTAACAAGGTCCAAGTTACCTTCCTGATTCAGCTTCCTGATTTGTTGGGTCTACAAGTCTCATAGTGTTGTGACTAACTGTGGGTTAAGATTGCAGGTGGTTAGCACATCAGGTGAGTAATACACAGTGGCATGTTTTGAAGGTGGAAGAATAAGCCTCTTTAAGAAGTGTGAATGCTTGGGACCAGGAGACAAATGCTGTGAGATTTGGTCATCTGATAACCTAGGGGAAAGATGGGAAACAGTTTACTCCACAGCGAGTGGTGGCAACACATGACAAATACTGCCAGCCAGAGAAGTTCATTAGGAGTGCAGTGCTCAGAAGTGGTTGGTCAGGCTAGCACCTTCTTGGTCTCTGAAGTTTTTCCTGTTAGGAATGATGCCAGGATTTTAATAGTAAGAGAAGAGAATGATCTCCTTGTGAGAAAGAGGAGAACTTAGGGCTGAGCAGCAGTTGAAGGAGAGATGACTTATTTTCTTCTGCTTATCTTGAAATAGTCAGAATTTGCCATGGAATAGTATACTGTTTTAGAAATATTTTCATGCTTTAGGTTTTGAAGGCAGCAAAATCTATTTACTTGCTAATACTGTTAATGAATGACCAAGCAGCTTCTCAGGCCACAGGCCACTTGTCTTCATTCCACCACCAGAGGGCCCTCTTTTTCTTTTTCTCTTAATTCTCATTCTCTTTCTCTCTCTCTCCGTGTGTGTGTGTGTGTGTGTGTGTGTGTGTGTGTGTGTGTGTGTGTGTGTGTGTGTGTGTAGTCAGAAGGCAATTTGCAGAAATCAGATGCCTCCTACTACATGGACCCAGGGGTGTCGAATTTAGGACCCCAATCCTGGCAACAACTGTCTTTGCCTGCTGAGTTTTTTCTCCTGTCTTTTTTTTTTTTTTTTTCTTTTTCTTAGTGCCCATTCTTTCTACCTTTTCTTCCCTGCTTTTTAAAGTGCTGCTTTGTATGTATCTTTCTTTTGCAGCATTTTCTTTGTGATTTAGTCAGGAAAATCAAGACTTAACAGGCTATGTATGTATGAAGTCGTTTAAAAAATATTTTTTAAAAGTTTTATATATTTATACTGTGTGTATTGATCATTTCCATCCACTACCTCTAATGAAACATTTGAAAAGAGTATGGCACTAGAAGAATATTATTCTTTATTTTTTGTTTTTAAATATTCTTAGAAGGAATATAGAAAAACAACAGCGTGAAGTGATTGTTGGAGCACAGTGCGGCAATGCAGTGTTGAGAGGGGCCCATGTCTACGTTCCAGGAATTGTGTCAGCTTCAAAATGTAGGTATAATATTTAAGGCACCCTACAGTTCATTAATGTGATCAGCTGGAAGTTTATGTACATTAAATCCACCTTTGTCATGTATTTCAAGATATTTTCTGTGGAGGATTTTATCTTACAAAAATAAGTGTGATGGTTACTTTGAATAGTTTACTTGACACAATGTAGAGTCACTTGGGAAGGGACTCAATAGATTATGGTCTAGATCCCATGGCTTGTGGGCACATCTGAGGTGGGTTGTCATGATAATGTTAATTGGGGTGGGAAAGGTTGTCTGATATTGGCAGAATTCCTTGGGAAATGGGATCCTGGTTTGCTAGCATGTGTGCATTTATTATTCTCTGCTCTTGACTGGATGTAATGGGATTAGCAGCTTCAAATTCTTGCTGCCTTGATTTACCCCCACAGTGATGGACTGGAACCTGGAACCATGAGGCAAATAGGCCCTTTCTCCTTAAGTTGATTTTGTCACAGCAGTAGGAAGCAGAGCTTATGATGCTCAGACATCCATGTAAAGGTTTTTGTCAGGGTTCTGCTTTTCCACATAAAAACTGTTATGGTGATATTTCTCTAGGGAACAGAGAAATACAGAATGTAAATGGAAGTGAAAGAGACCAACTGTTCATAGTTAAAAGCCCTTGCTGCTCTTGCAGAGGACCAGAGTTCCCTTTCCACTGTCAGGTTGCTCACAACTGCCTGTAATTCTAGCCTCTGCAGGTACCCTTGTACACATGACACAAGCATGGATGCCTGTGTGCACACACAGACATTTTTTTTTTAAACAAAAGGTAGTGAAGTTCCATTTTATATTCCTGACTTCACTGTCTTAAAGCCCCTACCTAATCTCAAGACATTTGTGAGGGTGACATCCAGAATCTAGACAGTGGGATGAAGTTAGCAGTCTTCATGGGTTCACACTGGTGGTGGTCAATTTCATGTGCTTTACTGTTGCAGTGGGACCTTAATGGACTTGTATCAAGAAGCACTGGTTTAGGTCTATTACAGATGTGTTTAGTTCCTGGACTTCACCCATCCTGTGTATAATGATCTGGAAAATGATTTCTTACTGGCCTAGCTTAGCCTTGGTTTCTTTTTTAGTGTACATTTTTGTTGAATCCTTTTGTAGGCAACTTAGAATGTTGAGTCATGATACTAAGGCTTATATAACGACTCTTACTTAGTATTAGATTGCGGAGGAAAAGTCATATAGATGATGTCTCCTGTTTAGTTGAAGATTTAGATAGGATGTTTTGAGTGCCATTTCTTTGTTTTCATGGAAAATCATCTGTCCAATTAGATGTTAGGGACTATTTAAAAGCTAAGAGTTAAGTTGCTATTGAGGATTATAGTGAGATAATAAGATAATAAGCCAGTGTGGATTGTCTCTTGTCTCTTGTCCATAATTGATGTCTCTATGGATAACAATTTTACCTTGAAGGATTTTTACTAGTCTGTCAAAGCATAGATTAACAATCTGATTTTCTTCTTTAACCTAGTTATGAAAGCTGGAGATGTTATTTCTGTATATTCTGATATTAAAGGGAAGTGTAAGAAAGGAGCCAAAGAATTTGATGGAACTAAAGTATTTCTTGGAAATGGAATCTCCGAACTAAGCCGTAAAGATATCTTCAATGGGATACCTGCTCTGAAGTATGTCACCAAGCTCTGTGGGGGAACTAGTGTCCTTTCTGTGGTTCAAAAAGCTCAAAAGAGTGAGAAGGTGTATTTTGTTACACTACATCAATTTTTCAATGACTTCAACTGGAAAAAATGAGACCATATTTCCATGATTTGTGGAAAGAGCTCTTTTTTTGGTCAAAAGGGTAAGCAGATTGAAAACCAAGGCAGTAGAATGGGGATGAAGTTCAGTGATAGGACACATTGCATTGCTGCTCTCCCCAAGCTAGAGTTCAGTCCTCAGCTGTGCAAAACAAAACAAAAAGCCCAGGTGAGTGACTGAGCACACTGTAATTGTTAAGAATTTTACTTGCCCTTTTGGATTTTAATTGTTTAAACTTTGAAGAACAGTACTTTTCTTAATAGAGAATTAGATGATTTATCTTTTCAAACAATCTCATTTTGTCAAAGAAAAGTTTTAATTTTAATGCAAGTCAAATATAAAAATTTATTTTAAACAAAACTAAATTAGACCTGAATTGTAGCATTCGTGAATGTTTATGGTCAAAACTAAATGTTTCAATTTGTTCAAGCCACATAGAAATATAATTAGTTCTAAATCATATCTGGATGTTGGTTGCACTAAGCAGATTAAAGCCATGAACAAACAAGGCCCTGTTTAACGTGGTTTCTTCAGCTTGTATTAGGAATGCTGTAGAGCGCCAGAGTTGGCAGCTGACACACATATGCTAAGCACTGTGAACTGAGCCGTTTAGAAGGTGGCCAGAGCCCTCATTCCTGGACAGCTTGCACATTGGAGCAGTTTTCCTATGTGAATGAAATCAGTTTTCCTAAAGAAACAGATGGGTAGGCTCTCAAGGTCTAGGAAAGAAAAGCTTTCCAAATGGCTGGAGCCTGATTTTACTCCCCTTGGAATGTTTCGTGGATGTAGTTGTGTATGTCTGTGTCTGTAGCAGGAAGTTGGTAGCATTGACTGCCCGCTTTAGTTGATTAATAACAGTGCTCCTCATTCTCTCATTTGATGTAGTTTCTAGTGATGTACTGAACCATGTTTGCTTTTCTGGTAGGAGTAAAAGGTGGCCATTCTTCAGAAAGCCTGTGGACTTTCTCTGCCAGTACTTGTAAGCTCTTTCCCTCTTTGATAGTTATGTAACACGCCACTCAGGTGCAGTGTTTGCCTTTATGAATCACTGTACACCATGCCAATCTGTATCCCGGCCCTTCCTGTTCCCAGAAGCTCCGCTGCCACCAGTAAAATGGGACAGAGGTAGAAATGGTCATTTGGGGACTGTCAGTACTGGGCAGCTTTTCTATGCAGAGATGGGAGCAGAGCAGGGCGCTGCCTTTGTTAGTGCTTGACATCAGCCCGAGTCTCAGTGCTTTTCCCTCTTTTATATAAGTATCTAGCAGAGCGCCTTAAAGATTCAGTCATTCACAAAATGTTTGTGTTACCAGAAAGACTAGAACAAAGCAATGAGAATTGGTCTTGTTTGCTTTTTTAATTTATTGACCTCTTTAAAGGAACTCTTGTGCTTTTTAAAATAGTAACTTATTTATTTATTTATTTGGATTACCTCTTCTAAAAAATGCAAAACAATCCACAGGACTATTGAAATTTGCTGTTAAGTAAAAGAAGTCTTAAGAATGAAGGACCCTTTATATTTGATATGTTATAGTGGGTGTTCCTAGAAATATATACTATATAACTTATACAGGCTAATGTTTAATTTCTTATTTTTTTTTAGAGGTATAGGCATAAGAATGACAGAACCCATATATCTCAGCCCTTCATTTGATAATGTTCTACCCAGTTACTTATTTTTGCAGGTGAGTAAAGTAAAACTGAATGACTTTGAATCATCCAGATGAATTATTAGAAGTTATTTTTCTGATTTATTAATATTACTGAGGTCTCTTCATATTCTGACCTACCATTGTCAAATACTAAGACAGTCTTATGAACACTTGTGTCTTCTTTTCCTGTATTAATTTTAACACACTTATCTGTCCTCTTTATCCAAAGGTGATTTAATGATGTGATATAATGACAGCTTTTGATCTCAGCATGTTAGTCATAAGTGTTGCACATATTAATGTGCAGCTGTGTGTTCTGGCTGTAAGAGCAACATGCAGATGGTTTTTGCCAGGCTGTTATTAAGTGCTGCAAAAAAAAGCTCAGGGATGGTTATAAAATATAAATAACAAGACAATTTGTGATCCATAATAAAAGAATTAGGCCACTGCTAGACTAAAGCTTTTGTACTTGAGAATGTAGTTTAACTTGTGTCATTTTCCTAGTGGAAACTTTTATTATATGTAATATTACAATATTATATGTAACTGGTCATTGATTGACCAGTGAAACTGACTAAAAACTAATAATGATTGCAATTAATACATACTGTGTATTTACCCATGTTCTACAAGTGTTCCATATATATTACTTCATACATCATTTGAAAACCTCTAAGGTCATAGATAATGAAAGAGACTTAAAGAAGTAAAGTATATAGCAGGCATTGTGCTAAATACCTACTTTGCTGACTGTGAAATGGACAGAAATAGCAAAGACAAAATTTGAACCTAGGTCTTTAAGTCAAACTTGTGCTAGTCCTTGAGACATAGCTCCTGGAGTCCATCACACTAATGAGTACAGGGCTCATTTAAGATGCAGGTTCTAATCCAGTCTGAGTTGGTATTCTGTAGGCTGTGAGCAGTTCTCAACCTGTGGGCTGTGACCCCTTTGGGGTTGTATAGGGTTGTATATTAGATATCTTTCCTGTCAGATATTTATATTATGATTCATAACAACAGCAAAATTATAGTTATAAAGTAACAATGAGATAATTTTTTGGTCAGGAGTCACCACAATATGAGGAGCTGTATTAAAGGTAAACAGTGTTAGGGACATTGAGACCCACTTAGAGTGAAAGCAATTTCTGTTTCCTAAGTATTCTTTCTAAATGCTGCTTTTATAGCTTTGTAGCCAGAGATTAGTCTAGGGACATTTATTGATCTTTTTATATTCAGTTTGTCTTTATAAACCAGTTCAGAGCTATCAGATGTTTTTCAAGTGAAAAAAAAAAATCTATACTATGTATTTTGATTGTTTTTCTCTTCCTCCAACTTCTTGCAGTTTCCTCCCTCCCACCTTCCTACCCACCCATCTTTATGTCTTTATGTCCTCTCTCTTAAAACAAAAAAAAAAAAAAAAAAAAAAAAACAAGCAAAACCAACAAACAACAAAAAACAAGGAACATTACCCCCCCCCCCCCCAAACCCACAAAAACAAGCAACAGATTGATAAGGTACACACACATGCACACCACACACACACACACACACACACACACACACACACTCTCCAAAACCAAAGAAAATGAAACAAAAAGTGCACAGAAATACCATTGAGTTCGTTTTGTGTTAGCTAACTACTCCAGGGCATAGGGCCAGCCCTGGTGTGAGACTACATTGGAGAAAATCAATTTTCCTTTTACCAGCAGAAGTGGGAGCCTGTGTCTACTTCTCATTCTAAGTGTGCTGGGACCCTGTCAGTCTTGAATCTCTGCAGTCTTTTGTGTGCTAGCTCAGTCTCCATGAGCTCTTTGTGTCAGTCCTGTTACATCTGGAAGAAACTGTTTCTGTGGAGTCATCTCTGCTCTTATAGTCTTTCTGTCTCCTCTTGGGCAGTCTTGAGCCTTGAATGGGAGGGCTTTGATGAAGACATCTATGTAGGAATAAGTGCTCTAAAGTCGCCCAGTGTCTTCTTCACATTGTCTAGTAGTGGGTCCCTGTTAATTTCCATGTATGCAAGAAGCTTCTCTGATGAAGGTTTAGCCAGGTGCTGATTCACGGGTATAGCAGTATGTCACTAGGAGTTCTTTTATTTTATTATTTCAGCAGAATAATAGTATTTGGATTTTTCTCTAGGTTAATAACGTCAAGTATGGGTTCCGTGTATGGAGTGGGCCTAAAATCCAATACAAAATTAGTTGGAACATTTGTGCCTTTGTTGCACCAGTATATCTTACAGGTGTACTAGTATAGGTTGTGAGATTTACAGCTAGGTGATATTGACAATTGCCTTTTTCCTTTGGTAGCATACAGAGTATCTTCCAGCATTGTGACTTCTAGTCTATGGAAGTAAAGCTTCAAGTTAGGTATACTAGCTTGACTTCTCAATTCGTTGATGACATATGTAAGAGTTGTTGTCTTAGGGTTTCTATTGCTGTGAAGAGACAGTAGTAGGTTTTTCAGAAGCCTTTTAGTATTAGTTGTCCCTCCATATATCTCTGCCTTTACATTTCTTTCCCATCTCTTTCCCTATTTCATTCTCCTCTTGGCTTTTCCTTGATCTCTTCATAACACTATATTGCTTCCCTCCTTGGGAAATCTTTCCCCCTCTCCCCACTCACTTATGAGATACTGAACCTATGTGGTTATTCATATTGTAGCATACATGTATCAAAAGCTTAAAAGCTAACATCCGCATATAAGAGAAAACATACACTGTTTATCTTTTGGGGTGTGAGGTTCCTTCGTTCAGGATGATTTTTTTCCCTATCTTTACTCATTTAACAGATAGACATCTAGGCTGTTTCCAACTTCTGGTATTATGAATGAACACACATGAACAAGCATCTCTGTAAGTAGGATATAGAGTCTTTTGGGTATATGTTCAAGAGTGGCATTGCTGGACCTTGTGGGATGTCAACTTTAAGCTTTTTGAGGAGCTTCCATGCAGATTTCCGTAAGGTGCATACCAGCTGGCATTTCCACTAGTAATGAATAAGTGTTTCTCTCTCCCCACATCCTCACTAGCATGTGCTGTATGTGTTGTATTGATCGTAGGCATTCTGACTTGGGAAGATGAAGTCTCATAGTAGTTTTAATCTGCATTTAAGGACACTGAACATTTTTTATGTATTTCTCAGCCATTTTGTGTTTATCCTTTGAGAATTCTCTGTTTAGATTGATACCTGATTTTTTAATTGGATTATTTGTTTTCTTGATGTTCAGTGTTTTAAATCTTTGTATATTATAGATGCTGACCCTCTACACATGTATCTTTTTCCATTCTTCGGGCTGCTGCTTTGTCTGAATGATGATGTCTGTGACTGTACTGAAGCTTTTCAGTTTCATGAGGTTCCATTTATTAACTTTTTGCTCTTAATGCCTATGCTATTAGTGTCATGTTCAGGAAATCCTTTCCTGTGCCAACGAGTTCAAAACTATCCCCCACTTTCTCTTCTATCAGATTCAGAGTATCTGATCATGCATCGAGGTTTATGGTATGTTTGGAGTTGAGTTAGGGGCAGGATGACAGACAGTGATCTATTTTCATTCTTCTATATGCAATCATTTAGTTTGACTATATGCAACCATTAAGTTTGAGTAGCACCATTTATTGAAGGTGCTGTATTCCTCCAGTGTGTATTTTCTGGCTTCTTTGTTAAAAACAAGGTGTCCATAGGTATGTGAACTTATGTCTGGGTCTTCAATTCATTTAATTTGATAAGCATGTCTGTTCTTATGCCAGTACTATCTGTTATTATTATAGCTCTCTGTAGTCTACTTTGAGATCAAGGATTGTTTTACTTCCAGCAGCTCTTTTATTAATATTAATCAGCATTTGTGTGTATTTCCATATGAAGTTTAGAATTGCTTTAGCAACTTCTGTGAAGAATTGTATTAAAATTTTTATGGGGGTTGTATTGTATCTGAAGATTGCTTTTGGTATGATGGCCATTTTCACATCATTAATCCTATTGATCCATGAGTATAGGAGATCTTTCTTTCCATCTTCTGGTGTCTTCTTCAGTTTCTTTCTTTAATGTTCTAAACTTTTTATTATATGTGATAGTTCAGGCATCTATACTGGCCTTTCCTTGAGGTTCTGACAGGATACACCCTCAGCTGCAGCCACTAAGAGCACCACCTATGCATATTCACTATGTTCTGATGGGAGATGTCATTCTGTAAATATGTTTCTCATACTGGTTAATGAATAAAGCACTGTTGGCCAATAGGAAAGCAAGATAGGTGGGACTAGGAGACAAGGAGGATTCGAGGGGGAGTCAGCATGGAGAGACCGGAGAGGGCAGATCGCCAGCCCCTCTCTCCGGTAAGATGAGACCACGTGGAAATACTTAGATTAATAGAAATGGGTTAATAATTAAGACAGAGCTAGCCAATAAGAAACTAGTAACTGGCCAACAGAATTGTATCAAATACAGAGTCTCTGTGTGTTATTTGTGGCTGGAGAGGCTCTGGGCCCAGGTCGGCATGAAAAAACCTTACTCCTAACAATGTTCCCTTTTAAAAGGGTCCTGCCTACCTCCCATTCTTCTCTCTCTGTTCTGCTCTTTCTTTCCTTCTCCCTCTATTTTCCTCTTCTTTCCTCTATCTTCTCTCCTGCATCTCCTGTCTTCAGAGTCCGGTCTCCCCCTACCCCTTTCCCTTTTTTATGATCACTTTCCCTATTAAAAAAAAAAAACCCTCTGCCTGAACCCTGTTGCATGGCATCTTTCTTTTGTGCACGACTTTTTCTTGAATTACAGCACTTGTCTTTCACTTTCTTGGTTAGAGGTGTCCCAATTTACTTATTTCTTGAGGCAATTATGAAAGGTGTCATTTTCCTGATTTCTTTCTCAGTTTGTTATTTGTATATAGGAAGGCAGCTGATTTTGTGTTCATTTTGTATCCTGCTATTTTTCTGAAAATGATTATCAGCTCTAAAAGCTTCCTGGTGGAATTTTTAGGCTGTTCTACGTATAAAATCATTTCATCTGCAAAAAGATATTTTGACTTTCCTTTCCTTTCCTATT